CCTCCTTGTTTCCCTTCAAAATGGAAATGTGTTTTCACTTTATATGAAAGGAAAAGAGATGCTTTGATAGATGACACTCCTAAAGAGATGTCAAGGCTTCATGAAACAACCTTGAATACCATCCAGTTCTCTTGATACCTTGTACACTGGTTTCCTTTCTTCCTTCATGTTAAATTACTATGGAGATTTGCATGAAAAGGGGATCTTTGTTTCTCAGAGTTCATCTGCTCCAGTAGCCATTTACTCCTCACTTCATTGTCACTCATCTTCTCAGCAAAGAGAGGGTGACAACTCTAAGTAGAGAATAGCGGCAAGGGCAGATGTACTCCCAAGGACCAAAGACTCTGTTGTCATGTAAATCAGCTCAGAAATAAAAGGGAAGAGAAGTACAGAGAATAGGTTTTAGAAGCAACTAAATAAAATGGTTTCCATGGGGGCAATAGTGGTTCTTTAATATGTATCAGTGTCACTGAGGTCTTTTTGCAACAGTAATTCATCATCATAAAGCCTATTTCCACGTAGTTTCTTGGGTATTGCATCCAGTGAGGGTACGCCTGTAAAAAAGCCATTGCTAATGGCTCTCTCGGTTTCAAAATGCTAGATTCATGCTAATGGAGAAGATGAGCAAAACAAAAGAGAATAGATGCAAACAGAAAAATCACATTATTCACAAGGAAAACTTAAGTTGAGCTGTGGATCATAATAAGGACCTTCAATATTTAAAATGGAAATTTATTATCACACTAGCCCTATATGCCATGCACCAGCTCGGAAGCCCTATACGTTTTGTGGGAAACATATACATATGGACAAAAGGGTAAAGAATGAAATTTGATGCATTTCAACAAAATTCTATCTGCACAACATGAATTGCATTATACTGAAGTGCGCAGCAAGGAAATATGTACAACAGACTGTAAGAAAATGTTTACTTATCTGTTTTAAAAGTGTTTAATGTGTTATGGTTAAGAGAAAAGAGTCTTTAAAAGTTGCTGTCAGCAGCTACTCATCTGACTGACAGATTCCTTACCAAAGCTAAAGGAGTGAGTAACCCTGGAAGCAGTTCATGCATGCATGCAGCACAAGTGTTAAGTGAGCCCTGGGTAAATTTCACCCAATGAACTCCTTCTAATGGTAAACAACTTCACCACTGTATAGTTAAAAAAAACCACTAAAGGAATCTAAAAGCTATTGAGGGGACAGGGGAAACTGAAAGGACAAGAGTAGATGCCTGCAAGGTATATAAGTCCCCCTTTGCTTCAGAAACCAGCTCGACTTTTCTCTGAGTCAAAGAATCTAGGCAAGATGGAAAACAAAGGCCATTATCTGACCTTCAGAGTCAGTGAAAGAGCAATGAGAAGAAATCAAAAGCGAAGAAAAGTTTCTGTTTGCTGTTGTTTTGGTTCCTCCCATCTGCAGTCACTGCTCACTGCCCTTGTGTAGCCTCGCACAGTGACTGGTGGTACTCACTAGGTAGATGAAGCTTGAAACAGGTGGGCACCAACCAGGTGCCTCCCAGAGTCACCTTGAAGTCAAAGGACTGCGAAATCAGTAGAAATCCGTTAAAGGATTCTTTCTTGGCTTTCCTGTAAATTTACGCTGAGAGAGCCCCATAATTAGGTAAGAAAAAGGAGAGCAATGCCAGATTCATCTGAAACCTAGAATAGTTTGCTTCTACATCATCTGGCTTTGCTTCCATCATTAGTTTAGACCTCATAATCAAAAGACAATCAAACATTTTTGTGCCTCAAATCCAAAAGAACTGAAACTGAATTCATCTTCCATCAAATTTGTTTCTTTCCCATGTTTTCTCGCTCGAGAATCATCACCTTCATCTGCCCAATCACCTGACCAGAAACCCTGAGAGTCATCCCTGAGGGTTCCTTCACACACAGTTACCAATTCTTGCTCCTCCTACTGCTTTAGAATCTCTTTTATAACTATCACTCCCCCCCCCACACACACACTGCTTCTGCCCTAGTTAAAGCCTTTACAGCTCATCTATACCACTGAAGTAACCAAATAACTTTTCTTTTAACCCCCAGGTTTACTCCTATCCAATAAATCCTCCACACTGCTCCCAAGGGACTCATTTGCAAACGCCCATAGTCGCTTCTCCCTACCTATAGTATAAAATGCAAAATCATCCTGATTTGGTCCTTATATGACAGTCCATCGTCATACCCTAGCCCACACGTGGGTCCTCGGCACCAGCCACGCTAAACTACAACTTGTTCCCTAAGCGTGGCCTGTTCTCTCTTGCTTCCCTGCACTTCAAAACTGGTCCCCTGTCCTCCCCTTGGCCCACACTATGTGCCCTTCAAGTCTCAGGTGAAGAGTGTTCCCCTCTGTGATGTACTCCCTGATGTAGTGTCAAGACTCTCCCTTTCATCATCTCATAATACCTTTGTGTTCAGCACTTCACACTGCTAAAAAAGAAACCCACTCAGGCTACAAACAAATGGATATTTGTTGTAAAATCAAGAGTATAAACGAGGAAGAGAGGCCCCATGGGAATGCCTGAATACCCACCCAGCCAGGCCGCAGGAAGAGGGAGCACAGTTCAAAAAGAGAACAGTACTGAGGACCCAGGCAGCTCTTATGACTTATATCAGAAGTAAGAATATGTTAAGCCCTTTGTCCATGCGCTGTCATTATTATACCACAGAGTCTTCCAACTTCTGTTCCCATTATCAACTGTGTAACTTTTTCTCCATGTTGAGTTCAAACTATTCGGAAGAGAAGATCGGATCAATGCGGTTAGGCATCATGATCTCTACTGAAGTGTTCTTTCCTATCACCCTCCCCCCACAGAGCACTGTCCAGCTTACAGGTGTGCTGTGTGGGCCAGATTGAGTCAGCTGTGGCCAGAGAGGCGAGTCCACTGGGCAGCAGCATGGTAATCCGTGGTGAAGGAATCTCATAAAGGGACCGTGGGGTGGTGGTATTCTGCGATGTGGCATGTCCAATACTCCTTGTATATAACGTACAAGGAACTTAACACATTGTGCTATACTCGCTTGCCTGATTGCATGACTATCTTCCAAAAAGACTGCGCTCTTTGTGAAAACCTTTATACTCTAAGCTCCAGGCTCACTGTAAGGATATAGTAGGGACACAATAAATATTTGCTAATAAATGAATGAATGAAGGGTACACTCACAAAAGTTTATTCAGTTAGTAATATTGTTCTAAGCATCTTGTTTCTAAATCCCATTTAGCTGAAGCGCGCTATCCAGATACGCACTGCACATCTCCTAGAAAACTGTTGAGCGGGAACTCCCTCAAATCATAGACACAAAAACTTCACACCGAAACAGCCGTTCTGGTGTGCCTAGAAGACCATGAAATTATAGAATATCAAGACTGGAGGGCTTCCCTGGTGGCACAGTGGTTAAGAATCTGTCTGCCAATGCAGGAGACACGAGTTCGAGCCCTGGTCCGGAAAGATCCCACATGCTGCGGAGCAACTAAGCCCGTGCGCCACAACTACTCAGCCTGTGCTCTAGAGCCCGCGAGTCACAACTACTGAGCCCACGTGCCTAGAGCCCGTGCTCTGCAACAAGAGAAGCCACTGCAATGAGAAGCCCACGCACCGCAACAAAGAGCAGCCCCAGCTCACCGCGGCTAGAGAAAGCCCGCGTGCAGCAACGAAGACCCAACGCAGCCAAAAACAAACAAAAAAGACTGGAAGGCATCTGCAGATCATGGTCTTGATCCTCTCTCTATCAGGACACACGCAACAGGTACTGTTTATATGAGTAATACGCTTTTCCAAAGGTAAAGGAGACCATAAGCTCTGTTCAGTTGTATGTAAAATACAGGTCCACTTCCTTCTTTCCCATAGATCCACTTCTCCACTGAGACACTCGATAACATGTTGAGATTAGGAAATCTAAGCCTTTAGAAGAGAAAATTGGTTGCTCAAGGTCACACAGCTGCTTAATGGCAAAGCCAGATTTCTCCTCATCAGTCCAATGTTCTTTTCTAGTTCTCTGTTTAACATTCCTCAGTCCCAAAGGCCCAAACTAAGTTTTAACCTAATACTTTAACCTAAATGTCTGCCTTAATCATTTGCCGCCAGAGGCAAGAGCAAACCTAAATCTACATAAATAGAGAATTCAGCAAACTGTTTTTAAGGGAAAACAACCATTTGCATATAATGGAGAGGCAAGGGCAAGAGCAGGGACACAGGAAAAACTACAACTCTAAGAAATTCTTCTGTATTTCAGTGAATGGTCATTCAGTAAACTGACTTTTGACGTATTGACCTACAACCAGTACCTAAATACATGGCTGTATAAACATAGCTGCGAGCTAACTCAGAAGTCTCGTGTAAGCCATTATCTGTTCATATAAAATTGTGCATGATATAAAGTACAATAATTGTTCTTTCCTAACCTAGTTAATGTTTGGTTGTTTTGTAATTTTAAAAATACCAGATACCCAATTAATTTAAGCCCATTGTTTTCCAGGCTTTTAAGTTACAAATTAGCAAATTTCTTCTATACATACACTTAGCATATCTCTGGTAATTGAGAACAGAACTTGGAGCCTTACTAATAGCAAGCATATGAAGGAGAATATGAAATGTTGATTACATTCATGGATTAAAACAAAAATCTGTGGTGTGTGAAGTGTTTGGTATTTAAACCAAGAGCTTATGAAGATCAACATCAAAGGAAAATTTAAATTAATTACTATGGATTATATGTTTACAGAATCCAGAGTAAGAGAACAAGAAAATGCAACTGAGGACTAAAAATGACCAAAATATTGGCCTACACTCCATTTAAAATACATACTTCATTTTGCACTAATCTTACAGCTACTACCTTCTTAAATCACCAAGCTAAAAGCCAAATTTATACTACTTTTCACTGTGTGAGTACACATATGTATTAAGTATAAATATACATGAATGCAAAGGAAATAATCAAATCAAGAAAAAGAAAAGAAAGAAAATGAACCCAGACTCTCTTCCATTCAGTCTTACTTACACCGTTTTGGGAAATCCAGTTCCATCCAAATCTCCCTCGTTTCTCCAGGAAAGTACCTGCAATAGAGAGCACAGAATTCAGTGGCAACCAACCTGGGCCTTTCCGCTATTTCTGCTTCACTCTTTCACATCCGGTTATCACTCTCAAAACTCTTTGCCTTTTTGGTTGTTGTTGCCGTTATTGCTCTTTCTCTTCTAGAAAGGTCATTTCTAAGAGCAAGCTCCTATTTTTCTGCTCTCCAGGCCACTGACTTAGTTATCTCTTTAGAGAATCTAGAGGAATTCCTTCACACCAGGAAACACTTATGCTATTGGCCTCACCCACACTCCTCCCCAGGCTGAAGATGGGATTTTTTTGAATTTATTGGGACTGTCACACAATTTCTGGACACTGACTCTGACTTCTCAGAGGTAGCCACTTACCTTCTACCCGCAAAAGAGGAAATTATCCAAAAATCGTGCCTACTTGTACTAAGGTTTCCAGATAAAATACATGTTTCCGTTAAACTTGAATTTTAGATAAACAATGACTACTTTCTTAATATAGGTATATTCTATGCAATATTTGGAACTTACCTGTAATTCAAATTTAACTGGGAAACCTGTATTTTTATTTGGTAAATCTAGCAATCATAACTTGTAGCTCTCCTTCCTTTTGAAAGATTCTATTTCATTTTCTCCTCTAGGTTTTTCTCACTTTTGAGTAGCAGTTCAGTCCTATGCTCCTTATTGTTTTATATTTCTTTGAGGGATTTCCTATGCCAGATACAAGTGTACACACATGAGTACATATGAGCATATATGTGTAGTCAGAAAAGTTTGATGTTGATAACTACAATAACATAGGGCTAAAGTATAAGTCTACTGCCAAGCCTCCCTCAAGGGCTTTCTGATAATTTTCCATGTCATCCAACAGAAATTCAAAACAGTCCTTCATTCTCTATTTTATGCCAACATGGCTCTTAAAAAGATGGTGTTAGGGAGAAGGCCTTCTTTGGTAAGGCTTTACTGCGTCATCTGAATTGGTAGCCAGATCCATACGTAAGTTGTCAACTGGTAAACAGAAATTGCTCAGATTTTGACTTGGCATAGAAGAGTCCCAAACCAAATACTCTGTTATAACATTTGACCTGTCTAAAACTGTACACATTTTGTCAACACCCTAAGCATAGGAAAGAAGAGAAGCCAATAATTTCTGTCTCTCTCAATCATCTTTATTTTTCCCTTATGCTTTCTCTATTTGCATTGAAGCTAAAAGAACAGAGAAGAGCCAGAAAGAAAACGCTATGTCGTGCACATACACACAAACACATTTCAACTTTTAAGAAAAAAAATATATATATATATATATATTGGAAAGTATACATTGAAATGGTAGTTCATCCAAAATAATAAGTAAATCATGGATTCTCTTGGCGAATGTATGGATGAAAATGATTTCCTAAAAAACAAATTCTATTTCTTAGTTATCCTGATGACATATCCTGAAAGCCAGAAGCCAACATGCCTGCTTTTTCTTTCTTCTAAAGACCCAAGATGCCCCAAGATGATGGCTCCTGTGGTGGGAGTTGCTTCCATTGCTAGGTTTCCTGTGGCCAGAATTGTAGGGAAGTTATTCAGGAAAGGAAGGAAAGGTGACTTACTTCCCTATTTGCTCCTAAAAAACACTAAAATACCTAAGCACCTAATGTGTAAAGAGGACACACTTGCAAAATGTCCCAGAGAGTGATGTCCTTTAACACTCTAGGATGTTGCATTTCTTAGATTTAATCTAATTCTTATGGGAGTGGTGACTTAAGGGAATACTATCCATATATACAGAGAATATAAATATCAGGCATGATATTTTGACTTGGCATAGAAGAGTCCCAAACTAAATACTGTTATAACATTTGACCTGTCTAAAACTGTACACATTTTGTCAACACTCTAAGTGTAGGAAAGAAGAGAAGCCAAAATCAGGCATGTCAAACTCAAGCATGTGAGAAATAATCAACAGTATTATAAAGCAACTTAATTTACGTTCATGTTGTCATCCTCATAAGCCAGTGGGAAACTTATGGTCTATGACAAAATTTAGAGATGCTCTAGGCAGCACCAAGGGGTCGGAAAGCTGTGGTTAACTACAGTATCTATTAAACAAGTTAGTTGGTCTGGTGTACACAGATTATCACCAAGATGTCTGGTGAACCTCTCAGCCTGGCCTTTCCAAGTCCATCAACCCTCTGATGATTTCTACCATCCTTAGAAAGCTTTGCAAAGTTTCCTATTGTCTCGCCAACCTAGATGCCCCAGGAAGCCTCTGCTCTCTAAGATCTAGCCATATGCTGGTAAAAACCTGAGCAGGTCCACTGTGTTCTTGGGGCCACATACCCCACTCTCTCCTTCTATAAGGAAATGCTAAAGATACATCAGAGAGAATTCATTTCCAGCTCATGATTCTTTAAGATAATTATTTTATAACCAGTAATTGCCATCCATTTAAGCCCTTAAGATGTACAGAATATTTATATTGTTTGTCCTGCCACAGGCCTCCCTGAGGTTAGAGATTACACAACCACTACCTACAGGAAGGAGGAAGTAATGGGAATGAGGGGGAAATACAGAGGGAAAAATCTCACAGACTAATATCTCAAAATATCATAGAACCAGATATCTAAGTTCAAGCTCAACTAAGAGTTCCTCATTTTAAAAGTCAGAAAACAAGCCATTAGTGGTGTAAAGTCAAAGCTTTTGTTTCTATGTCTTTTTAAGATGTTTGACCTCAAAACACTTCATTGTAGAGAACATTGTTGAAGAGTCTGAGGTTAACTAAAGGATGAATTTCAGGAACACACAAGGATAGGATGTCTATAGTGTTTTCATAAGGTGATGATATTAAAACATAAAAGAAAAATATATCAAAATATAGTGTGACATAATAAATCAAAATTAAATGCAGAACTGCCTGTCTTTATAGGTATTGGTGAGTAGATTTGCATTTTCTTTTCTGTTAAGGATGGAAACAATGGTGGATATGAAAGAAGCATCTCATTCTTTACATTCTGGCAGATTTACAAACCAATAAGCATCACATCAATGATCTTTTTTTTCTTTTTCACCTAATACCTGGCTTTTATTTTTTTCTTAAAGAAATATTATTAGTTCAAAAAAGAGAGTTCCAAGAAATTTAAAAGGATTCCCAGCAATGATTATTTCTGAGATCTATCAGATTTGAAACATAATTATAAAAAGCTAAAACCAAAGTATACATTCCTACTTTTTCCTTTTAAAAAAAAATCAGACGGTGTGTCACATCAAGAAAGTTCAGCAGGTTACCAGGGCCACAGCCTTAGTCATCCTCAGAATCACTGTCCCTCCTGGTGGGGATGCAGTATTGCACGGAGGAAAGCAGCACATCTTCTATGAGTTTCTTAGGGTCTTCCTCCAGGCTTGTCTTGATTGCTCCAGACTCAGACAATTTCCACTCCAACTCGTCTATTGTCAGGTTCATGCCACCAAACACCAGACGTCCAATAAATTCAGCCTTGATATCACCTTCAAGGTACACAAATGTCGTGGGCAGATTCCTATCAGGATAACTGGGTATGCAGGTTGTTGAAATGGCTTTGATAAATTTGACATCAGGAAACCTCCTGGCAAGTCCACTGAAGTGCTGATTTATCAGAGAACAGAGGGGAATCCCTTGTTTGTAAAGGTGCAGGATGACCCACAAGCCCTCACCAGCTTTGTTAACTTTTTTTTTTTTTTTTTTTTTTGCGGTATGCGGGCCTCTCACTGTTGTGGTCTCTCCCATTGCGGAGCACAGGCTCCAGACGCGCAGGCTCAGCGGCCATGGCTCATGGGCCCAGCCGCTCCGCGGCATGTGGGATCTTCCCGGACCGGAGCACGAACCCGTGTCCCCTGCATCGGCGGGCGGACTCTCAACCACTGTGCCACCAGGGAAGCCCCTGTTAACTTCTTGAACATAATCGTTTCCTGAGATTTCCAAAACTTCTCCAAATTTATTCTTCAGTTGGGTTGCTTTCCACTCGGCCAGTCTCTGCTACCTGTACTTTTCAATCACACGTTCATCTTCCTCACTAAATTCCTCTTCGTTATCCTCCGGTTCTTCCAAAGTCATGTCTTCATACGTTTTCACAATGGACTGCTGAAGGACCCGCTCTTCTGCCTCCTTCTCCAGATCTTTCAAACTTCCCTCGGAGGGCAAGATGCCTCTTTTGCGTAAGATGTCTTTCCACTCGGTGTCTGCGTTGGAGTCCTGCATTTTCTCACGAGTCGCTCGATCCCAGCCGGCAGCCGCCACTCTGCCCCTCAGCTCTCCTCCGCGCATGCGCGCAGCCACCGACCCGCTTCTTCCCAATTATCTTTTTATTGTACACACCCTGGTGAATTTTTATTCCAAGAGACGTAGCTCTTTTGAATCTAATATAAGAGTCAGCCAAGCAAATCAAGTTGGGCAGGATAAGCCGTAGATTTTTGAAGTGTGAGGTGTTTTCCACTTACATGAAAATAGAGAAGTGGACCCCACTTTATAAATAGCTTTAGTTTGGCTACCCATGACAACAGTTTTCCAAAGAGTAGTTCCAGGAGGCGATTTGCAGAGGAAGGAATGTGACTAAGTAGTCTGGTTCCGGATGTGTAGGTGGACAGCAGTGACACAGAAGGCTTCTGACTGGCCCTGAAGGACTACCTAGTGTAATATACCAATCCAATGACCGGATTCTAAGATCACCTAACAAATGGACCATTTCAAAGGCAAACTGCCCTGACATGCTTTGCTGAAAATATCAATAGCTTGTTTTTGCCTAAGCTTCAGCCATACCAGAATATAAAAGGATGAGATTAAACTCCACATAAGGAGTAGGAAAAAGAAAACTGAAAATGAAGAAACTTAAAAGAATGAAGAATGAAAAAAAAAAGATTTCACGAACCTCAATTAGGATAAAGAGTGAGCCTAAAAGAAGAAGGGTAGAGTAGTTTAGAAAGAACTGTTTAAATCTCAAGTAGGCCTTGGGCTTATAGCTCTTTGGTAAAGAACAATGCAACCCTGGCAGCAGAAAGCTCAAAATGACCTCGTGGGCCTCTCGGATTACTCCATGATTCAAGAGTCATGTGTGTCTGGTGTGTGTCCACCAAGGCTGGAGCACACGTGATGGGACAACCAGCAAAGAATTTCCTGGTACCACATGTGAGTTAGGCAGAGCATGTTTGAAGATAATGATCCTCTATTTTTAAAATGTGAGATTTAATGTGCCTTCTAATCCTACTTTGGAAGTCTGCTTCTTTATTCATACCAGCATGTTTATTTTAATTTTGGTATATTTTAGAAAAATGACAATATTCCAAGGAAATAAAGAAAGAAAAGATTGAGTCAGAAGAGTTTCTGTTCATTTGCTGAAGCTTCTGGAGAGGAAAACAGGAATAGAGTTAGTGATTCATGTAGGCAAACAATACTTGATTAGCATAAAAGTGGTGTTTTTTTCCAAATAATGTCAAGATGCCTTTTGTACTAAACGACTCCACAGGGCAATTTGACATTTCCTTAGTGGCCTGCAGGTTAATTCACACTCTCCTTGGTCACCAGGAAAGTAGGATCAAGTAGGGGCTATGCTCTGCCTTTCTGTGTAACCCCCTACATACCTATAGTGGCATTCCAACCACTTCCTGTATCCAGTTTTATCTCCCTCCAAACTTTTCTTCACCTTGCAACCAGAGTGCTCTTTCAAAAATGCAAACCTAATAAATGCCAAAGGCATGATCATGAAAGAAATAACTGATAAGCTGGACTTTATTAAACTTTAAAACTTTGGTTCTACAAGAGATAACTGCAAAAAAGAAAAATGAGAAGACAAGACACAGACTGGGAGAAAATATTTTGCAAAAGACATCTTATAAAGGACAATCATCCCAAATAACTCTTAACGCAAAAGGAACTCTTAAAATTCAACAAAAATAAAACAAACAACCTGATTTAAACATGGACCAGAATCCTGAACAGATATCTCACCAAAGAAGACATACAGATGGCAAATCAGCATATGAAAAGATGCTCGACATCACCTGTCATCAGGGAAAGGCAAATTAAAACCACGAGATACCACCACACAACTATTAGAAAGACCAAAACCCAAAACATTGACACCACCAAATGCTGGGGAGGATGTGATGCAAGACCTCTCATTCACTGCTGGTGGGAACACAAAATAGTACAAAAACTTTAGAAATTAGTTTGGCAGTTTCTTACAAAACTAAACATACTCTTATCATACAATCCAACTCCTTGGTATTTATCCAAAGAAGTTGAAAACATGTCCACACAAAAACTGCACATGGATGTTCACAGCAGCTTTATTCATAACTGCCAAAACTTGGAAGCAATCAAGAAGTCCTTCATCTGAATGGAAAATAAACTGTGGTACATCCAGACAATGGAATATTACTCAGCTTTAAAAAGAAATGAGCTATCAAGTCATGGGAAGACATGAAAAAACTTTAAACGCACACATTACTAAGTGAAAGAGGCCAATGTGAAAATGCTGCATACTATATTATTCCAACTACATGACATTCTGAAAAGGCAAAACTATATAGACAGTAAAAATATCACTGTGTGTCAGGTTGGGGGGGGAGAGAAGAATAGGTAGAACACAAAGAATTTTTAGGGCAGTGAAAATACTCTGTATGATAACATAATGTTGTATACATGTCATTATACATTTGTGCAAACCCATAAAACCTACAACACCAAGAGTGAACCTTAATGTTAACTATGGACTTAGGGTGAATATGATGTGTTCATGTAGGTTCATCAATCATAACAAACGTACCACTCTGGAGGGGGGATGTTGATAATATGGGAAGCTATACATATACCCACTGCTGTAGCAGCCAGGGGATACATAGGAAATCTCTGTACCTTTCTGCTCAACTTTGCTGTGAACCTAAAACGTCTCTAAAAAATAAATAAATAAAACTTTAATAACAACAAAAAAAATTGCAAACCTAATCGGATCACCCATTGCTAGCTTAATAAAATGACTTTTCCATGACTCTTAGCATGAAATCCACTATATGTAACATGATTTAGGTCCAAGACCTACTTCCTCAGGCTCACACTGTCCTTCTCTATGCACTGTGCCTCAAACTCACCTTTTTGTCCCTCAGATTTCATTATAATTTTAAATATTTATTTGTCCAAGAATGTGTTATTTTAATATATGTGTTTGCCACTAGTCTTGAGATCCATGACAATAAAGATCATATATTCCTATTTATTAAGCTACTCGGAAGCAGAACAAAAATTTGATCCTAGGTTTCCTGCCTTCAACACCATTGCACTTTTCACTCCACCTTCTCTCCTTAAGTTTCTCTATCTCAATTCCGAAACATTGTGACTCTCAAGGCATACTATCCAGATGAATTTCCCCAGGTTCTCAGCCCTCTTTTCTATTTACCCTGATTTTCTCACTGTTTCACCAAGCAGGCTATTCCCCACCTCCCTATCATTGCCCATGATCCTCCCATAACTTGGAACATTATGGATTGCCCAAGGTTAACTTGACACTTCACTTCTCTTCCAAGCCTTCATTGTACTCTTCTCTGAATTTTTATAGCACATTTGCTCAATTTGACACAGTATTACATTAGAGTTTTGCATAAATATTTATTATTCTAACTTTTCATCTCTATTGGAAGCTACTTAAAGATGGAATCCATGAAGTCTCACGCTTCTGTGCACCCCACTGCTCCTAGCACAGTGCTGAGTAGCACATGATTGGCTGATTTCATGAGAAGCCTTTCCAGAGGTGACCCAGCTCTTATCACGTCACATCCCAAGGGGCAAAGCTTCCTAAATCTCAGGCAAATCTTCCGCCTCCCTAAAAAAGATTTTTCTTTTCACACTGCATTGTCCATGTGAATTCCCCCTGAGTTCAAAAGAGAAGACACAATCAGCATGCTGGGCTTTCCGGGGTTTCTTCTGAGCAAAAACTTTCTGGATTTTGAGCTCCACAGTATATCTTGCCAAGAGGTCAAATAATAGAAAAAAGAGAAGAAACGACATTGTTAAGGAATCTGACAAAATTTTACATATGCCAGCTGTGAAAACAGTACATGCTGCCTTTTAAAGGATATACATCTGAGTACACTCCTTGGAATGGTGCTGGATCATCACGATAATACAACTTCATGACTGGTTCAAATGTATCTTAAGTGTCTGTTCTATAGATTTTTAAAAATATAACTCAAGTTCCTCTAGTTCTCATCAACAAAGATAATGTAGTCTCCAAATGATTATCTCCATAAGAATTATTCTTATAGAAAAGTATCTTAAATTTCTTCCTTTTTCCCCAACAATAAATAGACTAACAGTTCAAAACCTCAAGGGTCTGGCTGCAATTATTTGGGCCTTGAGTACCACTATACTGAAGAAGATTCATGTTACTGTCATCTACTTGAATGGCATAAATATTTATTTATATATATATATATATATATATATATATATATATATATATATATATAAATAAAATAACCAAGCATGAATTTCCTGGATAGGAACAATACCACCAAGAAAAGCAACAACAGCAGCAGTTATCATTTACTGAGCACACCAATATTCAGATCTTTTAAGTAAAGCCTTTTTCATCCTTACAGATATGCAAGAAAGTAGAGGTATTATTCTCCCCAATTTTACTGTTATGCAGACAGATTCGAAGGATTCAAACAGGAAAAAAAAGCAGAATTTGAATACTCAAAAACCAGTACTCTTTCTACCATAAAAAGCGTGCAATTGATAGCTCTTGAAAATTCAGAAAGCTTTTAAAGACCGAACGGGTACACTGAGGGTTTTACTTTCAGTCCCCAAACTTCAACATAATGTAGAACATGCCACAATATATGTTGCAAGTACATGAAGGAAGTTGAAGTTACTTTACTGTAAGAATTTTTTTCTCTTGTAATCATGATAATAATTGACATATTTTTATGCCAACTGACAGAATCTATGCAGAGGCGATTTAGAATGCATTTAGCATAGGAATTTGGTTTTGTTCTTTTTAACTTGTTAGTAACCTGTTACATCTGATCTTCCCAGGGTGGGGTGGGGTAGGAGGGGTGGGCAGGGGAAGATTATACAATTCTACCCTATTGACCTCAGGTGTAGCTATGTTATTTCCTAAGGCAATGAAATGTGAACAGAACTGTCATTGGTTACTTTTGGCTGGAGGCTTTGAGAATCAGCGTATGCTTTGCCATCCTCATTTT